GATGCAGCATTGGGGATTTTGCGCTGCGCTCTCTCTCTGTGTGTGACGTGACAGAGAAACGTCGCTCTCCCTGCAGAAGTCATGAGGTCAGCATCTCTGCAGTTTCACTGTGGGCACATCAGCCTCTGCTCTGGCCACGCTGATTCATGCCACACTCTGATGGTTCATGTTCAGCCTGGAGAAATCCCCCACACATGCCCTACTTTACAGTATGTCACACCGCAAAAAAATGCACTTTTTGACTAAATCCTAACCTAAAAATCTACAAATTCTCTAATCAGAAAGCATAAATAAATATGCAAATTAGCAGTTTTCCATATTTTTTTTATTAATGTTTTTATTTTTCCATTTTTGTCTCTGCATTATGGGATCTTGATCTTTCTTCTGGCAACTTTTAACCTTAAAAAGGTGAAAGAAGTGTCTGTTCTGAGCATGTGTAATAGTGTGCAGTGCTCTATTGTCTGTGTTGGTGTTGTATATTACACTATAAACCCCTCATCATAAACTGCAGCACATTTTCTCTTATATTACACAATATATATTATTTCTGATTTATGATATTATCTCAAACCACTAAAATGTCAATGAAAGCAAATAAACACAAAACCATAGACTAAACCAAGCGCTATCAATACTTTCCAGATGCACTGTAGGTTTCTGAAGATCGCAAATGAAGCTACAAGTGGGTACATTTAATTTATTAACAAAATGTAAACATTTTCAGTGTTTTGAGGGATATTCAGTAACTATTTCAAAGGTTACTGTAGCTCAAACTATACAAATTAGCTGTCTAATTGATCTTTTTTTAAAGCTACATGCAGATGTAAACACTTATTTTACAAGAAATGTGTTTTGTGGATACTTAAGATGTGTAATGGTGCTCTACAACTGCCAGTTGCAGACTGATTGGTGTGATTATGCATTCACAATGGTATAAACCATTAGAGGGGGGTTACATGTATGTTTATATTATACATTTTTAATTATTAATATTTAAGCTATAGATCTAAGATCAGAGAAAGCTATTTCTTATTATTAAAACGCTGACCTCCCCCATAAATCGTGTTTTGATGTCCTTCAGGGGGGATTCAAGTGTTAATTAGGGGGGTCAATCCCCCCAAACCACCGCAATAATAATAATAATAATAATAATAATAATAATAATAATAATAATAATAATTCGCACCCTGTCTATCTGCCAATGACAGTAAACTTTTAAAAATCGGATTCATTCCATTTTCTTGTCAGCTTAGTCTCTTTATTAATCCAGGGTCGCCACAGTGGAATGAACCGCCAACTTATCCATCACGTTTTTACGCAGCGGATGCCCTTCCAGCCACAACCCATCTCTGGGAAAAAAAATCGGATTCATTGACAATATTTACTGCATTCATTCATTTTCCTTCAGCTTAGACCCTTATATATCAGGGGTCACCACAGCGGAATGAACCGCCAACTATTCCAGCATGTGTTTTACACAGTGGATGAACTTCCAGCCGCAACCCAGTAATGGGAAACACCCATACACACTCATTCCCACCCACCCGGAGGAAACCCATGCCAACACATGTAAACTCCACACAGAAATGCCAACCTGACTCGAACCAGCGACCTTCTTGCTATGAGGCGACAGTGCCAACCACTGAGCCACTGTGCTTATAAATGGATGGACTTGATGAACTAAATTGGATGTAGTGTATGAGAATGGAGTGTGCATAGGTGTTACTCAGTACTGGGTTGCAGCTGAAAGGGCATCCGCTGTGTAAAACATACGCTGGAATAGTTGGCGGTTCATTCCACTGTGGAATGAAGATAGATAGAAGGAAGATAAATGAAGGAATGTCTTTATTATTATTATTTGAGTCTATAAATTCTCACAGACTGTATTCTTGTCTCAAAGGGGATGTGAACATGTTATTTTCATGCAGGAAGTGCACGTGCAGCTGTTTCCTGTGCCAGTTTCAGAGGCGTTTACACTCAAGACGCCAGACATCTCACATTAACTTACTTAATAGTTTTTATATAAACTGACCGCTGTGTGTGTCATCATAATTACAGAATACTGCTGCATCTGTGCACTTATGACGCGAAACTGCGGACAGTCCAGTTCAGCCCTAAAATATCTGCGCTGCGACGCTGGGGTCTGGAGAGAGATGTCATGAGTCATTCACGCACTTTACATTTAATATAAATGCGCAGGTTATAAGAAAGCACACTCAAAGCATGCAGTCGCGCTAGCAAAACTGATACGGATGACCCTTAATTTGACATTTGCTCATGCAGGTTCAGAATGATGAAGCGCTTCATGGTTTCCGTTGTGAAAAAGAGACTAAGATTACACATGCTTAGACACAGAGAGGTGTGAAATAAATGTGATGTGTCTCACTGTATTTAAAGAGCTAGTTCACACATCTTTTCTATTTGCTCACTATTTATTCTCCCTCAAGTGTTTGCAAACCTTATGAGTTTATTCCTTCTACACTAAAGAAGATATTTTGAAGAATGTTGGAAATCGGCGACTTCCATAGTAAGAAAAACTAATTCAATTGGAGTCAATGGTTACAGCTTTTTATCATTGTTCAAAATATCTTCTTTATTGCTCAACAGTAAAGAAGATATTTTGAATAATGCAGAAAATCTGTAACCATTGACCTCCATAGTTTGAAAAATTTCAATTTGAAGTTGATATCTAAAAAAATGAGCTTTCCATATGATTTTGTTTGGCTGCAGTACCAAACATGACCACTAGTCAGTTTCTATTGGTGGCTATATAAGAGCGCCCTCTGATTTTGAGTGTGTTTGAACTATATTTTTTCATGTTTCTGACATTATTTGTAAAGTACACATCAAAATCTAAAGCGCATTGGCAGTCTGGTGGTGTCTGCTTTAAATTTAGCATCTAAAAACATCTAAAAAGGTGAATTTCTGTAGCAAAGTAATGCTTATTAATACCACAAATTAATAAATACATGTTGCTCATACAGTAGTTTGGGCTTTTACAAACAGGTTTGAGCATTTGAGATGAAACCTTACATGGGTTAAAACCAACACAGATTTACATAAAAATCAAATAAACATATACAAAGCCTTGTATGTGTTCATTGGAATGTTAAAATATTGGCAGCAGTATCAAACATGACCAGTAGATGGCATTTAGTTTCTATTGGTGACCATGTAAGTGCGCACCCTATTTTTGTGTATTTTTTGAGGAATATGAACTATATTTTTTGCATATTTTTGACATTATTTGTAAAGTAGACATCAAAATCTAAAGCGCATTGGCAGTCTGGTGGTGTTTGCTTTAAATTTTGGCAGTAAAACATCTAAAAAGGTGAATTGCTGTAGCAAAGTAATGCTTATTAATAACGCAAATGAATTAATTCCTGTTGCTCATACAGTAGTTTGGGCTTTTATAAACAGGTTTGAGCATTTGAGATGAAACCTTACATGGGTTAAAACCAACACAGATTTACATAACAATCAAATGAATATATACAATGTCACAAAAAAGCAAGTAAAGGGCTGCTTTACCCTAACATTGACAGAAAACAGAAGCTAAATATCTGAGGAAATCATACTCCAAATTTGAAGTTGATATCTCAAAAAATGAGCTTTCAATATGATTTTGTTTGGCTGCAGTATCAAACATGACCAGTAGATGGCATTTAGTTTCTATTGGTAGCCAAATAAGTGCGCTCCCATATTTCTGTGTATTTTTTGAGGAATATGGACTATATTTTTTTCATATTTTTGACATTATTTGTAAAGTAGACATCAAAATCTAAAGCGCATTGGCAGTTTGAAGGTGTCTGCTTTAAATTTAGCCTCTAAAAACATCTAAAAAGGTGAATTGCTGTAGCAAAGTAATGCTTATTAGTAACGGAAATTAATAAAAGCCTGTTGCTCATACAGTAGTTTGGGCTTTTATACATTTGAAGTTGATATCTTTAAAAAAATGAGCTTTCGATATGATTTTGTTTGGCTGCAGTATCAAACATGACCAGTAGATGGCATTTAGTTTCTATTGGTGACCATATAAGAGCCCCCCCCCCCATTTCTGTGTATTTTTTGAGGAATATGAACTATATTTATGCATATTTCTGACATTATTTGTAAAGTAGACATCAAAATCTAAAGCGCATTGGCAGTTTGGTGGTGTTTGCTTTAAATTTAGCCTCTAAAAACATCTAAAAAGGTAAATTGCTGTAGCAAAGTAATGCTTATTAATAACGCAAATGAATAAAAGCCTGTTGCTCATACAGTAGTTTGAGCTTTTATACATTTGAAGTTGACATCTTAAAAAATGAGCTTTCGATATGATTTTGTTTGGCTGCAGTATCAAACATGACCAGTAGATGGTTTCTATTGGTGACTATATAAAAGCGCCCCCCCCCTCCCCCCTATTTCTGTGTATTTTTTGAGGAATATAAACTATATTTAAGCATATTTCTGACATTATTTGTAAAGTAGACATCAAAATCTAAAGCGCATTGGCAGTCTGGTGGTGTTTGCTTTAAATGTAGCCTCTAAAAACATCTAAAAAGGTGAATTGCTGTAGCAAAGTAATGCTTATAAATACCACAAATGAATAAACACATGTTGCTCATACAGTAGTTTGGGCTTTTATAAACAGGTTTGAGCATCCGAGATGAATCCTTACGTGTTTTAGAACCAACACAGATATATAAAACAATGTAATGGACAAATTCAATGCCACAAAAAAAGCAAGGGAAAGGCAAACCTGGACAGCTTTATTTAGTTGTTGCAACTGTGATCCTATTAAGGAAACATTTCGATAACAGTAATATAGCACTGGCTAATATATTCAAGCTATTAGTTACTAGTTAATTAGTTAAAGTTATGAGTAGCTAAAGCTGATTTTAAAGTGGGGAGAATAAGTGGTCTCTAAAATATTTGGTTTCCATACGAATAAATTAAACAAAATTAATAAATTAATAAAAAATAATAATAAAAAAGGCAGGAAAAGCGAGAGTACGTACCAGATCTGCGACAGGCGACTTCTTGCGGTTCTGTTTCTCCACCTCCACCTGCATCTTGGCCATTGGTTTGGCCATAGCGAGCGCCATCTTGGCCTCGGCCTGCAGTTTCTTCTGCCGACTCAAGAAATCCATGTCCTCCAGAGACTCAGAGTCATCTTCTGTGGTGTCTCTGTCCGAGTACGACGAGCTCTGCTTGCTCTGATAACATAAGATAGCATTGGTAGATATTAAAGATTAACCTCTTAACTTCATATCTTAATAAATTATACTCCGAATTTGAAGTTGACATCTCAAAAAAAATAAGTTTTAGGTGTTATTTAGTTTGGGTGCAGTACCAGACATGACCACCAGTCGATATTCAGTTTCTATTAGTGACCATATAAGAGCGCCCCCTATTTTTGTGCATTACAGTAATGGAAGATATTAAAGATGCGTGGTGTATACAGTATGCATTTTTTTTGTGTGTGTGTGTGTGTATATATATATATATATATATATATATATATATATATATATATATATATATATATATATATATATAAATGTATGTGTGCGTGTGTTTGTCTGCGTCTGTATATATATGTGTATGTTTGTGTTATATATATATATATATATATATATATATATATATATATGTGTGTGTCTATGCGTTTTTGTGTATACATGTATGTGTGTTTGTGTGTCTATATATATATGTGTGTGTATACATATTTGTCTGTGTGTGTTTGTATGTATGTGTGTGTGTACTCATGCCTGGTGTATACAGTACGTGTGTGTATTTTTCTACATGTGTATATATGTGTGTGTGATGATGATGTGCGCAGGTCAGTGTGGGCGGGGTCATTTCTCTGGCCTGTGACCCTCATGACTCGTGTTCCTGTAAAGCACTCGCAGCAATGACTGCTGGGAAACGATGGCTCTTCAACCACATCCCAGGGGCATTCTGGACGGGGCTGTCTCAAAGCCTGTTTACTTGACCTCCCTGACACCTCTGGAGAGTAAACATCCCGTCTGATTGTGTGTGCGTGTGCTCCTGGTATTCCCTACATCAGGGAGAATCATTGTCCACTGATGTAAAGTAAAACCAGTCAGTTTTGACGATATGGGGACATTTTTAATCTCCATGAGGACAATGGAAAAAAAAAATCAGCTAGAATAAACAATTTGGTAAATATTGAACTGCAGGGTGTTTTTTATCTGCGTGTGTGTGTGTGTGTGTCATAGCTATTTTAGTAAAGGAAAACCAAAACTAAGACTAAAACTATTGATTAAAAAAGCGTATTTTGTTAACTGGAATAAAATAACAAAAATGGACAACAAGATAGCGTCACTGAAATACAAACATGAGCATTTTCTGAGTTAATTTGCACTCACTCGGTGGTGGAGAACGTGTGGATGCGCGTTTACAGACACACATGACCATTAACATGAAGACATTTATTCATCATTTCATCTAGAATTCATTCAGTCATTCACTTTCCTTCAGATTATTCTCTTATTTATCAGGGGTCACCACAGTGCAATGAACCACCAACCATACCAGATTATGTTTTACACATTCAAACACACACTCATACACTACGTCCAATTTAGGTAATCAATTCCTCTATAGCGTTTGGACAGGAGGGCACCCAGAGGAAACCCACGCCAACACAGGGAGAAAATGCAAACTCCACACAGAAATGCTAACTGACCCAGCCGGGACTCAAACCAGCAACCTTCTTGCTGTGAGGCTACAGTCCTAACCACTGAGCCACCGTGTCGTAAATTTCAATATGTCTATTGA